TTTATATTTGTATTTGTATTTATATTTATATTTATATTTATATTTATATATATCTATATTTATTTATATATATATATTTATATTTATATATATATCAATAATTATTGTTATTATCGTCATTATCTTCCCGCTAGAATTATTAAATACGTTAACAATGGTCGCAGGCGTTACGTAAAATAATTATATATCTTGACGTGTGTTGTCCATCAGGCGAGTCAGTACGATCCTCTCGTCTTAATTAGTTTCGTAATAATAACGGTTCGTGTACTTGTAAAGTTTCCGCTTAATATGCAAATTGTACTAAAAAGAACGGAGAAGGCGTCCCCAACGAAAATCGACCTTAGAAGAAGCTTTTTAGGAATCCGGCGGGACCCGCCTGCTTCTTTGCCGCATCGTCGGTGTCAACGTCGGAGACGCAGCACGTCGTTCGCAGCGAATTTAGGGGATTCGGAAATAAGAGGAATGGTAGAAACACAGACAAAAAGCACAACACAACGTTCAAGCATGCGAATTACACGTGTGCGTGTCGTGTCCAGGGGCAGCGTGGAAATTCAAGAAGACAATGTGGTTAGTCACTCATGAACAAAGAGAGTTCGAAAATTAGAATTTGAATTGTACGCTAGAACCACCGAACAGCTCAAATTGAACCACTTCAAAATTTATATTCCACAGTTATTATAAATATGATGATGCGTTTGTCTAAAAATTACAAAGCTTTGTACATTTGTGCAGACGATAGAAATTGCTCGAAACCTCAAGGAAGGTACTCTAATTTTTCTGAACAATTATGACTAGGTCATTCCAACGATTCGGTAGTCCTAATGTTAAGAATTTCTAATTAAGAGTTAAGAAATCGATTTCAGAACTGTAGAAAATGGAAGAGTCTCGGATGGTGTACTGACCTCTTGTTGCTGTGCAGTTGCGGCTTGTTTCAACTTGACTTGTGCGGCTTTTAGTGCACTGCGGACAAAGATGGCGACGTGTTTAATAAACGACAAGACAGCTGAACCCTTTGTTCCGTGGAGCACGTGTCGGGCTAGATACTTACTCTTGAAGTTCTCTGATTTGTCTCTCTTTCGTATTTTGCTCCTCTTGAGTCATCTGCATCAGCTGCAGTAGCCTCTCGGTCTCGGCGGAGCTCCTGGTCGACTCCTCTTTCGCTTTCTCCATCTCCTTCTCCGCTGCCTCGAGAGCCTTCTGCATTTCCGCCAACCTCTTGTCCGGTGACCCACCGCTCTGCGGGAACAGAGGGAAATTAAACGTGATTCCACGCTTCCGCGTGAACCTCTGACTCTACAACCGTGACAATAGCTTCGCGGAATCGGGTCAGAAAACTTTGAGAGTGTTCGGTAGTCTGGTAATCTAAAACCATGGAATTTTTCATTGATCTTGTCGTTATCATTTCAAGCATTCTATACTCAACAATTCCCCAATAGTAGGCAGGTATTTCTAAAAGTTTTTGGAAATTTTTCATTGATTTCGTTACCGTCATTTCAATCATTCTATACTCAACAATTCCTCGATAGTAGGCAAGTATTTCTAAAAATTTTTGGAAATTTCATTGATCTCGCTACTGTTATTTCAATCATTTTATACAGAAACGTTCCCAAAGAGGCATCAATTTCTAGAAGCCTCGGAGCAATGGATCTCTTTCAATAATTTTACGAAAACTGGATATTTGTATCTATTCGTTTTATCAAAAAGAAACGATTCTCAAAGAAGTAACTAACTCGTGCATTTTTAACACATTGAGCGCCGGTCCCGCAATAATGCGGATTTCTGGATATAACGAATATGCAATTAAAATGTACTGTTTAACTAAATTATACACCGAATGCTTAAACAATAGCAAAGAAGGCAGCTACACACTGATCACTTGCTATTCAAGTAATCAAATCATTCGTTTGCAACTTAGTATTCCAAATACGAACATTTCATCCGATCGAAATGTCGACGTTCGTCCGCAAAGGGTTAAATGTCTCCCAAGTCGCCGGCGCTCAATGCGTTGAGACGCAAAGTCGCTCACCTTCTGTAACTGCTGCTCCAGCTGGTCCATCTTCGCTTTCCGTTTCTTCAGCTCCTGGTCGAGACTTTGGAGCGTCCTCTCCTTCTCCTCTATTGTTCTAGCTTTCTGGTCGACGGACTTCGCTCGCTCCTCCGTCTGCCTTCTCTGCTCGTCCACTTGGCGTTTCTGTTCTTCTAGGTGTCGTCTCTCTTGGGTAGTATCGGCTCCAGGTTTCCCGCCTCCAAGTTGGAGTTTCTTGGTCGCCTCGTGCAAGTCCACCTGCATTGAAACCGGAACTCGTCAGTGCGAGGCTCGCCGTGCGAATCAGCTACAGCTAGGCGGAATCTCAAAAAAAGCCGCGGTCATTCTACGGAGTCATCGCGCGCATTGCTTTTGGGGATCGCGAGGTTCAGCGGGTTTTTCAGCGTGAACTTGACGAACTAGAGGGCTCGACCCTCTCGACGGGTGAATCGAGAGGCGCGAGCCGCGCAACGGAAAACAAAGTCGCACGCACAGACGACGAGCCGATTGCTCTTCCGTAATCGTCACGGCGTACTGTATATGTACAAATACATACATAAGTATGCAGCCGGAGGAAACAGTGTTCGTACGCTGCTCGTCTTCCCTGTGAACCGTTCGAGAGTTTCGTCGAGAATAATTATTTCGATTGGATTTATTCGAAACGGGTTTCAAGAGGATGATCTTGAATCCGATCGTCGACAGCGAAAGCGAGCAACGTACGAGCGGTTTTCTCTGCCAGCGTATACTTGCAAATAAAAACTGTACAAGATGCAAATAATCGTACGAGAACAGTCGTTCTTTCGTCGTTAGGCGACCGCTACAGTGCATGGTCGTGAAATCAGACCAGGATAAACAACGGAACAACAGCTTACAAGAATAAAACGTTTTAAAGACAATATTATTCGCGCGACACGGGGGACGCTACGGCTCCCGTGTAATACAATCGGCCAGCTCAAACGAACGCAAAACGATCCCGTTAGGCTCGCTCGTCTCCCCGTCGTCGCCGACGGCACTGATAACAACGACAAACGTAACATGATTAAAAAGACAGTCGAATAAAAGGCGTAACACAGTCGAACAAAAGGAACGAACGTAAAATAGAGAGCGTAAATGAGCGCGGAATATATAGCTGTGAGTCGCAAAATGGCGT